TGAGAAGAAAAAAAATGTAAAGTCAATGCAGAAACGCTTCCGGCGGCGAGGCGCTAGGGAGGGCATGAATGAAATTTAAATATCATACGATACTTGCTTTTCCATCGTAGCAATATAATACATGCACAGCACATCCCTTATCTTTCACCTCTCCCACACTTCACACAATCCGAGGGCCAACCATGCTACCTACTTGCAATGCACACGTGTAGATATAACCCTTGACGGTGCCACAACAAAGGAAACACCTCCCAGGATACCTACTCGCACCTAGGCTAAGGCTTTACGGTGAAGCCTGCCGATTTTTGCCATAATTCCCAACAGGATACATACAGCATTCATACTTTTAATTCACAAAAAAAACCCGAAAAAAGCTGGGTCCCAAAACACGGAGATAGCAGCCAATTGCTATTAGTCTAGCCCTAGTATTGCATTGCTAGGTATAGCAGTTTCCGGGCTCAGCGGAACGTTAGCTAGGCCGGTAGGCACGCAACAGCATGCCAGTTTTCCCAGGCGCATTTAAGGGAACCGAAGTCTCTAAAGCTATAAAATGTAGTGAGGTTTCTGCTATCTACTTTCTAGGCGAGACTGACATTCCGCCATGCCCATCTCGCTAACCTAGTGTCGAATTCGGGTTACCGGTAGGCGCTCTAAGGCGGTTCCACGGCTACTCCCGTCCCAAGGTCTCAGATAAGTGAGGATAGATGATCCCAATGCCGAAGAATTATCCAAGAAAGAGAACAGGGTTAGGTCAATTCTAAGAGAATTAATGAGGGACCTCAATGCCTTGCTTGCTTCTTTCCTTTCCCAATGCTCCTCAGTCTTCCTCACCCCCTTATCGCTATACCCCTATCCCGTATTCACTCGGATAGTCTTCCCTGAGCGAGAATGCGCCTTAGCGGTTCCCAAGCGTGAAAACATCCGGGATGGGAGGGGAAGCATGGGAGAGTAACCTACTCCGCGCAGGGGAGTAGCAAAATTGAGTTGCGGTTGGCGGGGAACACGATCAGATCAGGTTCGACCACTCTGTCTTTATATAAATCTATACGCCTGTAAAGTGACTGTTCGATTTTGGAAATGGCTTTTGAGTATTCAAACGTGAAAGTGTAGACCAAACCTTCCAAAAGACTTAATTTCGTCTCATTGATACCAGAGCAGTCTCTAGTTAAAATTATATATGGTCCTGAGGATCAAAATCTGCCCACATGGACAAACTTAAGCGAGATTAAGAGAAAGATCATGATGCCGACCGTAAACTTTGTGTTCAATCCTTAAATTCCTAGCTATCGTAGCAACAGGGCAACCGCCAACCTGGCCTACGCACTGCTCGAGTATATATCTATTGGACTCCAACCGAAAAAGAAAAAAAGTATTAGCGCCAATAATAACTCCGGCTCACGGGTCTTGTTTAGTGAAAGGCTTTAATATCTAAAGTGTTGGCAGTTAGAAATCGAATTGCAGAAACATGCTTAAATTTTCTATTACTGTACGAGATACATTTAGACATATCATATGAAAAGCCGTCAGCCCCTTCTCCTGCTGTGGCGGGGGGTGTGGCTGTTGTGACACCTCCGGTTGCCGAGGTTGTTGCCTTGCCGACCATTGAGGTGTTTGTTGAGCCATCGCCACCTGGGACTGTCTACGATACCTTCTCACGGCTCCCGCTGAGGCTATTGATACGCGGCCGCCCTTCTGTGCTATTGTGTCTCCGCTCGCTTCATCTCCAGTTGAGGTACGGATCGAGTCGCCACTTCCCCGCGATGCCGTTGTACCCGAGTACCCCCGGCGGTCCCGTCCACTACCTGGAGTCTCGTCGAGATCCCGCCTTCTCCGCTCGCTTCGTCCTCCATTGGGGCCCCTGTTGAGTTGTCATCTCCTTGCTACGTACGTGTTTCTGGTGCCTCCGGCCCTGGGGTGGAAGGCAAAGGGGAAGAGAGCCACGAGGCGCCGGATGAAGAGGGATCTGTTGGGGGGAGTGGGCTCAGTACGGGGCTTGGCAGGTGGGGGGTTCCCTGCCGGGTTCTGCGGTTGATAAGGAGCCAGGTTACGGAGGGGCGTAGGGGGTTGAGGCGGTAGACGTGCCCTTGTGACAGGGTGATTACGGGTCGTCGTGATAGAGGACTCTGCGTGTTCTGTGAGTTGAGATGCCCGGTGCCTACCTGATATAACATCCTTGTGGCTCGAGTATGATAATACAATACAATATTTGCCCACAATACCAGTATTCTCTCTACCCTCAAACTCCCAACAAGGCGTACTACCAATACCCCAATAGATCGTTATCCGTACTCGGGTACAGGTAATCCCTTGCAATAATATTCTAATGCGTCGGAAAAAACTCTTTTTAAATTGCGAAAAACAAGAAAACCCCCCCCCTCGTGCCCACTAGAAATTGACGAATCATGGGCTTGGCTATATTCCCAGACTAACTTATACTGTTTTTCCTCCATTATTGCCCCGCCTTCCTCCCCTCGGGAGCTTCGGCCCCAAGAGGTGCGGTTGGAATTAAGGTTCCGTGATGCGGGTTGAGGCCAGGCCTGCATGTCCATCATGGAAGATACATTACCGGTACAGGCCCGATATTCCGACAAGAGATTGTACTGTATATAGATTGTGGGGTAGCACCAAAACATGGCGGAAGGCGGACAAGGGAGACCGGGGCCCACTCCAAGTACTGCAGGGGTGGCACGTTGCGAAGGAGCCAAGCCGAGCCGAAAGAGAAACCGAAAAAATGGTGAGACATAAAAAGTATAGCGCTATGTGGCAACTTCCGATTCGGAAGGGTCCCGATTGCCTTTAAAATTTACTTTTCGCTGTTTTCCAAAATCTACATTGTTACGTGAATGTCGGCAATATTGATGGTGGATGATAGTAGAAGATAGACAGTGCAGTAGTCAGCGGTGCAGTATGACGATTTTCTTAGAACTTGGATACGGAAAGATATGCTTGAGAGGTATGATACCGCACGATACACAACTTCACTCTTCGTTCGTCCACTCAACACGACTAAAATAAAGGTAATGACAGGTGTACGTAAACAAAACACTATAAACACATCCTGATTCTTCCCTAGAGTGTCACACCACCCTCTGTGCCTCCCACGCATGCCCCCATTCCTCCACACATTCCCGTGATGGCAAAGGAAAGACATGTTTGGAAAAAATCTCCCCTGCAAACCCCCGGGGTCCACCGCGTCCCCAAACCATATGTCAGACTCCCGAAATTTCGATAATCAACTCCAATCATCCAACCCAGAGCCAGGCAAACATATTTTAGCTTGAGTATGAAAGGGAAAGGGACTTCTAGCGCTAACACATCGGCCATGGCAACCTAACAAATGAGAAATAAATAATTCAGAGAGTTGCTCTCACTTGTCCAGCGTTCCCTACTGGCAGGCAATCTACAGCAACTCTTCCAGGATCCGCTCGTTCTGGACGCCCTCGTGATGGAGAAAATTGGCAGACCATGATCCAGCGCATGGCCACCATTCGGCTGTGACCTGGCATAGGCGGCTACCCTCTCGAACCTAGCAGATTACGGTCGGCTCTCCTCCCCTGGTGCTGCTTTCGCATGTCAAAATTTAATAGATTTCAGTAGCTTAGTTCGTTTTGACAACGTAAATTTTCAAGCAATACCTGTCGAAGAATTAACAGCAGAGTGTTCTGTTGAGAATTGGCGATCGGGTGTATGGGGTGGACACTGTTTAACTTGATATCATACATGATTCTCATGGCCACCAAGACTTGTGGGGAATATTGGATAGAACGGTAATAAGAGATACGAAGAAGTGGTTAATTGCTTGAGAAACTGGAATGCTTGACTATCTCAAAGGGAACGGCTCAAGACCCTCACTAGCTACCATTGGCAGTGAGACAAATAGGTCGAGCGAACAGTAACAATGACAGGGAAAAGGGGAGTAAGAGGAGTGCAAGGAGGTATCTTCAATAGTGCAGTAGGTCTAGATGTGCGAAGAGGTCTGATGTGAGGAGTAAAAGCAATAGTACAAGTAACACCACAATAGTGCGAGAAATATGCTTCAACAAGACAGATATCTATAGACCGAGTGATCTATGATGATCCGGCAGACAGGAACCCGATCGAGCAATACCCCTGACCCCCCAAGTCGATCGGGTCAGGACGGTCTTGAGCATTACCCGATCGGGGGGCCCCAATTACAAATACCGCAGCGAAAAGGGTGCTGCGCTTCTCTCAGATGATAGTGCCTTTACAATAGATAAGGTTTGTATCACCCCATTGAAGCAGTGTCGGTCAACCACGATAGTAAATCATATTAAATAAACCATCGGAGGCACTGCGACACATTTCCCACTCAAAGGGTTAATTTAAGATACCATTCGGCGCCCAATTCCACCATCTCGGGATGGGTGGGTACTGATTGGAAACGGGGAATCAGGGTTACTCATGCGTTCCAGCCGGTAATGCTCCTGGGCCGTCACGCACTCGGTACTAGGTGGGGGTATATATATCACCCCAAAAGAGGTTTTTACGGAGTGAAGGTTTTTGGAATTTAGCTTTTTACTTCTTCGTTGCTATGGCAGCTAAAAGGGAAGAAGTATGTGGATTTGGAGGTTTCCGTTGAACGGTATGATATCGGTATGGGTAAAGGAATGCTGCTCCTGAGGGAAAGTAATCGCTTCGAGAAAGTTACAGGTATCATATATTAACCCATAGGCCTCGGTATCAACGGAAATGCGAAACTAAGCTAAGTGGGGGAAAAGACCTGTTTGAATCTCTAAACGAGCTTTTAAACAGCAACGACAATCAGAGCGGGGTAACGATAAAGCGGGAAAGTGGCAGCGATTACTAGGGCAACACAAAAGACTCCAATCTCCAGTGCATGATTTTGGAAAAGTGAGGAAGTCTGCTCGCCCTCGTTCAACTCGCTCTGCACACACTATCGCCCCACCCAACTGACTAACCTGTCGAGACCGGAGCATATAAATCGCAACAATTTCATACTCGAACTCCCCCGTCGATCACCACATATATCTGTTGGCTTCCATATATACCTTCCTTGGTTCTTTGCATGCTCCCGTGCTAATAAAAGAAAGACAGGTTTCATAAAAACTCCAACTGTTCCTAACCTCCGTTCCATTCCCTCTTTTTAACCCTCCTGCATCGCACTCGGCGGGAACATGATTTGCTTCCACGAACGCGTTAATACAAAGCGTATCTCTGAAACTTTTATCCGAACAATCGAAAGATAACCTGAGCACGCGGGCAGGTTCCAAGCATCACCCACGATTTCTAACACCAACCCCTTACATCCTCCACCTACCCTGACAACAAAGTGTGACTACCCAAATCCTCACCATGGAAATCCCCCACTTGACCCCTACTGCTTCCATATACCCACTGACGGCAGATTGCGTCCGGTCTCTTTCCCGCACCATTTCCCTCATCATCTCCGAAAACGCCTGGCGGGGAGGCGACCAATTTGCGCACGACTATAGGCGATGACGCGAGACACCTGATCCACATTGGGATTTCTCGGGGCCCTCCCCAGCGTTTCTCGAGTGGGAAAAAATCCCGGATTGTCGAGGCCGCATGAGATAATCCATTTCGTGCAGGGTAGTAGCGGAATTAAATTATATTTAGCAATGGGTTTCAATGGTTTATTATTATCCTGGCACAAAGCGGGTCATGCTTGAATAGGGCCCTCGTGATCTACCAAATTCGCTCAAGTGGGGGTATCGCTCGATGTACTTGTGTATGCTCAATCATCCTCGCTCACCCTCTGTATATTTTGTGAAGTGACTAATAGGATTTTGTAAAGAGTTTTTGAGTATGCAAGGAAAAGAGCGTAAACCAACTTCTCTAAAAGAGTTAATTTCACCTCATTCGTACCGGGGTGGGGGGGGATTGTTAAGGGTGGCGGACTACCAAAATCGGTCAAGGTGCCCAGAGGTGAGTGATGCCGAGTGATAGCACATGATGCCGACCGTGAGCTTGGTGGTACAACTCCAACCGATCGGAGTAGAGCCAGTGACTCTCGCTCACAGGTCTTGTAGTAATTGCGTTCATTAATTATTAGATAAAGTGTTGGCAGTTGGAAAGCTGCTTGAACCCCCCGTTATATTTCGACGTATGAAAGTAGCTTTAGCCGCCCCTCTCCTGCTGTGGCGGAGGGTTGGTGGGTACAGTACTGTACTCGCACTGTGGCGCCTCAGGTTGCTGAGGCTGTTGCCTTGCCTACTGCTGGAGTGTTTTGTTGAGTAATCGCCTTCCTGGGACTCTGTTTTCCTCACAGCTTCCGTCAAGGATAGCTTCATCGCCGCCTCCCCGCGGTGCTACAGTATTATGCCTCCACTTGCTTCATCTCTAGTTAAGGACCGTATCGAGTCGCGACCTCCCCACGATACAGTTGTGCCTCCGGCGGTCCCGTCCACTGTGGGAGTCTCGCTGAGACCCCCATCCCCGGGCCCCACCCCTCTTCTGGTCGCTTCGTCATCTATTGAGGCCCCGATTGAATCGTCACCACCCTGCGATGTACGTGCCGACGGTGCCTCCACTCCTGGTGTGATGGGGTGGAAGGCGAAGGGGGAGAGAGCCAAGGTGTGCCGGGCGAAGAGGGAATTGTTAGAGCCAGAGGCCTTGGTGGGGGACTCGGGTGATGGGGGTTCCCCGCCGGGTTCTGCGGTTGCTGAGGAGCCAGCATCTGCGGTTATGGAGGGACCTAGGGGTTTGAGGAGGTGGAGGTGCCCTTGCGGCAGTACGGTTATGGGGCGCTGTGGTGGGGAGCTGCCTATTCTGTGAGTTGAGATGTTCGGCGCTGGTATGATATAGCATTGTTGGTGGCCAGGGTGGCAATGTTTAACGTGATGTCACATTAAATTATCACACCGCACCCAGGTTTCTTGTTGTGATCGTGGGTTGGGAGACGGTATTTAGCCATGGTGGCTTGGGGGGGGTGTGGGTGGGTACCCCTGTGGCAATGATTTATTATTTGGTGGGTTAGGGTTACCGCTTTTACGCCGTTCGGCGATATTAGTATAACATAAATTTTTAATTAAATTTAGTGTAGAAAAGCCGATCATAATCGACCAGACTCCAGCATAGGGTCCTCTCGCTTAGATCGTGCTCGAGAATAATCCCCACAATCTGCTCGAGCACACTCGTGTCCACCAATACTAGCCGCGGTGGAATGCCACCGGTTGACGCTTGAGCAAGAAGCCGAGCCCGGAAGCTCCGGGGGCCTATTCGTATTCCTTTCTGGTGATGATCGGGGAGACCTTTTGGGGATACACGCGACAGCCTTGGGGCAGCCCAAGGACTCAAATGCAATGGGAAACTTTGATGGCTTCTAGGGATTGTTGACAATGGTGGCGTGAGTTCCGGCTCTCGAGATGTTCTGTGAGGCGTCATGGTGGGGTGGGGGTATGAAGAAAAAATAAGTCCTTGTGATATGGGGAGAGGCAATATTTCTCAAGATAAAAGGTTCGTCAGCGAGACGGGGAAAGGCATAAATGAGAGCGCGCGGAAGGCTATGGACCTTTACAAGTACCCCTTCCGGAGGGGTGAGAGCTCGTTTGAATTGCCCGTATGGGTGGGTAGGCGATACTAAGCGAAGAAAGGATCCTTGAGCCAAGAACGGTACCTCGAGCAGACTACCGGGCGATCACGGTCTATACACTCTATCCCCCTCTCATAGGGTCGATCTAGAGTAGGGCGCAGATGGAGTCAAGGATTTCTCCCTGGATGTGCCTTCCCATAACATAAAAGCCTCTCCTCCGAGCCCTTCTTGTATAATGAAAACCACTACGATGCCCGTTCATGACCGAAAGCGACACCGATGATTCCAGGTTTCATAAGTCTTGTGACTATCTAATATTCACACCTCCGGACCAGTCATCCATACAAAATCCCAGATCTCCCCCACCCATCTCTGCCCGATATCACGGACTTGACTAAAGTCTCTACCATGGAACCCGTCGGGGAAGCAATGGCGGTATTCGGGGTCAATCGTCAAGGTAATCCGGAGTCTAACGGGGCGTTGTCGCTGCGCCAAACCTGAGGGGACGACAACAGAGAACTAGGTGTACATATCCTTGTTATGATAGCAGCGCGCTGGGGGCATGTATATAGTGGGGCGATGAAGGGTCTAAGTTACTGACTGGAAGCCTTCCCGCAAGCGACGGGCGAGAAATTTCAATTCTTGTGGGCGTTCCCGGCTTCATGGTCGGTATTTAGCGTCTAAAGTAGGCGACTGGTTTTCATCGTTCCCCTCGCAGGGCTTCTGCACTTGTTCGCCTGTTCTCGGATCTGAACTCTCGATTGCACCTTTTATTCTCTTGCTTTCGTGGTTGCAGCTCCCGTGCATCGTCTCCGAGGGCGTGTCCTCGTCCAAGACCTGATAATGTTACTTATAGGATTATTTGAAGGTGCTGATAGAAGGACTAGGAGCACAGTAATCTTCGGCGATACCCTACATTATGCACTGCTATCAGGCATGTAGTTTACCGAGTTGCCGTATTGACGACAAGATTCTACGAAATTGTATGCCAAATGTGTCAGGCTTCGGTCACTGGGGTATAGCGATTGAATGTCACATTATTGCGAAGCGATAAAGTTCTGAATTTTCCAGTACAGGAGGAACAGAAACACCACAAGCCGTCGACAGCTGACCCACACAAAGTCCTGCATCCTCATATAAATACCATACGCCACTCCAAAGCAGACTCCGAGGATAGAGGGCAACAAAAGGTACGAAAGAACCAGCATGGCTTCGAGCCAGTAAACGTATTGAATGAACGGGGGGCCTCCAACCAATAACCTATGTTTAAATTTGAATTTATTACGCAGTTAGCCAGACATGTAAGTATTCGCTAAAGAAAACAGGACACGATACTTACCAGGCGTCAGAACGGCAATTCGGGGCAAGGCGGTGCCCTAGGTGGGCAAGGCGTGCAGATCCGGCGTGTCCTGGATACAAAACTTGGGCGGAGTCAATAACGGACCACAAGAGGAGTAAGAATAGTAAACTGGAAGGACTCACACGCTATAAAAAAAAAGTTAACAAATATCATGTGCTGACATGGTTAGTAGGAATAAACCCATAATACCCACCTTCTGTGTTGCCCAAATGGTTGTGAGGTTGGCTGCGGGTTAGTAGGAGACGGGGGAAAGGGGAGCAAAATCTTTACTAACGAGCTGTAACATAATACCGAGAGAGTATTAGTTGTGGCTCGCAAGAGAGGGTATAAGTCAGCGTACAAACTAAGACAGGGGAGGAGTAGTTAGTTAGGCTTCAGGAGAGGTAACAATATGGATTTTCGAAATGCTTACATCCTATCGGGGAAAGCGAACACGATTCATGAAGTTAGTATGTAAGTTAATCGAGGACATCAACCAGAACCCCAACACTTGTCGATCACATACAATCTATAACGGAGGGATACAGGGATCAATAAAGCGGAATCAGCAGAGGGAGGGGCATGCAGGAGAGCTTACCGCCTGAACAACTCAAGAGGCAGGAAATTAGCAACCGTGTAGTCCAAAAACCATGGCTACCATGGTTCACTTACTTTCTATAATGCTCCGCGAGCTACAGGTCAGAAACTGCCCTAGACCACAACTGTGCTTGACCCTATTCACTTACACGCTACAGAATTCAGCGAATGAGGAGTCAGCAATTTCTTCGTCTCAGAATAGTGGCTAATCATGGTGACTTACTTCCTACAACATTCAGGAAGCCGTAGGTGAGCGATTGCCTTGTCCGAGAACTGTGCTTGAGCCTGTTCACTTACATTCTACAACATCCGCGGATTGAGAGGTCAGCAATTGCCGCGCCGCAGAACAGTAGCTAATCATGCTCACTTACCGTCTACAATATTCAGCGAATCACAGATCAGAAATTGCTTCGTTCCAGAACCATGGTTGATCGTGTTCACTTACAAACTGCAAGATTCACCGATTCAGAGGTCAGTAATTTCATCGTCGCAATAACCATGGATGATCCTATCCTATTCCCTTACCAACTGCAACACTCAGCAAGTCAAGAGTCAGCACTTGCTCCCCTCCAGGGACGGTAGTTGATCCTGTTCGCTTACCCGCTACAATAGTCAGCGAATCAAAGGTTAGCAATTGCTTCGTCCCGGAACCGTGGATAATTCTGCTCACTTACAATCTACACCATTCGGAGAGTAAAAGGTCAGTAATTTCCTCGTCCCAGGCCATCGTGGATCCCGTCGACTTACATTCTACAACACTCATTGGGTCAGGGGTCAGCAATTTCTTCGTCCCAGAACCGTGATTAATCGTGTCCACTTACATCCTACAAGACTCACCCAGACAGAGGTCAGCAGTTATCTCGTCCCAGAACCTTGGTTACTCTAGTTCACTTACCGACTACAACATTCACCGAGTCAAAGGTGAGCAATTGCCTCATTCCAGAGCCGTGGTTGGTTCTGTCCACTTACATCCTACAGCACTCAACGAGTCGGAGGTCAGCAATTGTCTCGTCTCTGAACCGCGGTGGATCCTATCCACTTACCGACTACCAAATTCAGCGAGTAGGAGGTGAGCAATTGCCTCGTCCCAGAACCGTGGTTGATAATGTTCACTTACACGCTAGAACATTCAGCGAGCCAGGGGTCAGCAATTGCCTCGTTGCAGAACAATGG